TTGAATGGATTTGCGTTCGCTGCTCAAAGAACCGACATTTGAAGATGAAATGGCACTATGGCATGTGATAATCAAAGAAATGAAGCTCAATGTCTCTCTGGGGAGTTCTTTTCATTGTGTGGAGCCTGGTTGGTTTAGGGTATGCTTCGCAAACATGGATGATGCAACGGTTGAAGTTGCACTTCGAAGAATTCAAACATTTGTGGCTCGGACCAAGAAAGAAGAGGCGCCATTGAAAAAAAAAAGCCATGGCAGAAGAAGCTTCAACTTAGCTTCTCGTTGCAAATATATAATGATGGTCTCATATCTTGAACAAGTACTCTTCTCCTTCTGATTTCTCCATTTTGGTTTGGTTTGGTTTGGTTTGGTTTGTTTGGGTTAGAAAGAGAGAGAGAGAGAGAGACAATCTGTTTTGTCTAAACAGAGAACCATCTGTTTTGTCTAAAATTTTTCACACCTTTGCGACCAAAAAAATATTTTTTGTTGGCAAATGTTAATTAATTTCATTAATCCCTCCAAAATTTGAAATATTTCTCTCTAAATATTTAGTTCTTTGGCAACAAGAAAAATTTTAGTCGCTGAAAATATATTTTTGACAACCAAATTTTTAGTCACCAAAGATAAAAAGTAATTTTTTATTTTTCATTCGGCGACTAAATAATTTTAGTAGCCAAAACTAACTATTTGGCGACCAAAAAAAAATTTAGTCGCTGAAAATATATTTTTGGCAACCAAATTTTTAGTCGCTAAAGATAAAAAGTAATTTTTTTATTTTTCATTCAGCAACAAAATAATTGTAGTAGCCAAAACTAACTATTTGGTGACAAAAAAAATTTTTAGTTGCTGAAAATATATTTTTGGTGACCAAATTTTTGGTCGCCAAAGATAAAAAAAAAAAAAAAAAATTATTTTACATTCGGCGACTAAATGGTTTTGGTAGTAAAAACTCAATATACAGCGATTAAAATATTTTTTTTGTCGCCAATTCTGGTGTTTTTAGCAACTAATTTTTTTTTAGTCACTAATAATCAATATATTCCCACTAAAAAAAATTAGTAGCTAAATATTATATTTTTGTCGACTAAATTTTTTTTAGTTGCTAATTTTGGTCGCCAAAGTGCATTTTGTTGTAGTGGGCGGAAGGCCAAGGGTGATGACTATGCGTTGTTCCCAGTAGAAGAAAAAGAGGAAAGGTGAGAAACTGCATGGGTTTTGATATAATGGGTTGAAGTTCATGGTAAGTATATGATGAATGTCTCTGATGTAATGGATGATAAATATATGGTAGTATTGATATTGTGTGATCATGTTCAAATATAAGATTAATATTAAGTGAAATGAGTGAATGAAAATATGCCACATGTGCGTTATTACTATTGTTCTTGTGAAACAAGTTAATGGAGATGAACGGATGATTAACATTGATACGAAATAAGAAAGACAGGGTTTAAAATGATGCAGTTAAAACTCTAGGGTTTAATTTGAAATTCGTGCGAAACCTTGGATTTTTTTTGTAATTTGCCCGTCAAAATACTACTACCTAACAAGAAAAGATGAGAAAAGTATAAAAATTAAATCTTCATTCTTTTGGTTATTTTTGTTAGCTTTTGGAGGATTTTGCGCTGTCGCCGATGTGTCTGAATTAGTGTTGTCTTCAATGAGTTGTAATTCGCTAACATCGCCGTGCGGTGTATGACCATTATGTTCATATCCATATGTCATTGACAGAGAAAGAAGTTTATTCAAGATCTGGACAGTCCATACGTGCTGCTTTTTTTTTTATCTAGCACCTTTTTGATTATTCATATCCATATATGTACCACATCCAAGAATGATTAGAAATGCCTTGCAGATAAGCTTGACAGGTTCAAAGCAAGATTTGTAATTGGGCGGAAAAATGTCATGCAAATGAACTATGAATTAATTAGTAAGTTAAAAAAAATAAAAAAAATCTTGCAAAATGATTTGACAATAACATTTTGCAATTAAAAATTATAGCAAGGGCGGGAAAATGTTACCTTGTTCTTTCTTATGTTCTTCTTTCTTTGTACAAGGGCCAAACAAGGAATCCATTTTGGGGCTTGTGACTGCCAGGCAGTTTTTTATCCCGCATCCCTTCACATCTTCCCCATGAACGAATCATATATGAGTTAAATTTCATTAATTGCAATGTAGAATCAATGTCAACATAATTTTACACAAATTTCTTTAGAAAATCTATATTTTCAAATCTATTAATTTAGGGAAAATGAGCATCTCCAGCCATTAAAAAAATTGATCATCGGTTTGTTGCACTTTTTGTTTATTTGTTTGTCAGACTACATTAAAAAATGAAGGGTATTGTGTATATTTAAGAAAGCAAAATGTAATGGTCTTACTAATAGCTACTTATCTTGGTTTTTCATACCAGCTTGTTTGTTTGTATTGTTGTCTTTCGTAACTAAAAATGTTCAAATTATCACATTTTCAACTTTAGGCTATAGTTAAAGAAAACAAAATGTCGGGCAAAATTTATTTTACCTTCTCGTGGTATGAACAAATAAAAAATGTGTCATGTATTTTTGTTGGACAAATACCACAATACATTAAGTTTTTAAAAGTTTTCCAAACTGTAGTTAAGAAAACAAAATGTAAGAATTTGATTGACGATTTAGAAAAATGCCTCATACACCCACTGGGGGTCGACCCCCAGTGGTGTATTATTGTTGCTTGTATCTGAAAAAGAAAATAGTTAAGGGTCAGTCAAACTTTTTTTTTTTTTTTAATCGGCAAAAGAAATTGTATTGATATATCAATTGCTTACAAGGGGAGACATATGTTTAGTAAAATTCATAATTTTGGAATTTACTTGTCGAGTTTATCAAAGAAGATCAATCATGGATGTGAAATTATGTAAAAAGAAAAACAACTGCGATATTTTGAGTAGCTGAGAAATTTCATAGTGGCTGTGCAGAAACTGTGAAATTTCACAGTTTTTGTTCAAAAATTGAAATATATTTAACTGACAATTTTTTTGGTTAAAGTGAAAATTCTCAGCTGACATCAAAATTTCTTAGTTAAAAACAAAGAAATTTCATAGTTTTCTACTACAAAATCATTTTTTTTTTCTTTTAAAATGTTATTGTAAATATTGATTTTGTTTAACATATCTCTGCAAATAGGTTCCAAAGAATATAATTTTTATGAAAAATGTTGTGGATAATCATAGTTACAGAGGATTTCTATCCAAACCAAATGCTCGAATAACATTTATACATGAATATTATTACTAATAATAGGATTAATAATATGATAATTTGCAATTATGAATTACATTGATGATTTTCTATTAAACTGATGCAAATATGTTACATAATTTCATAAAAAAATATGTCCTGACTGATGACTTGCTTACCTTTGCTTTTTCCATTTGTTTTAGTTTCCGGACCTAAAAAAGAAAATAGTTTGGTATTAGCACTCAGGATAGTGAACAAAATTTATGGGGGTCTTGTTAATCAATTTGTTGCTTCCCCTTTATAAACTGATCATTATACATACAATCAAAATCATATTGGGGCCGTTTGGTGTAGCTGTTAAAACAGATTATAGCTTATAACTTAACAGATTATAAATTATTACTTTAATCAGAAGCTGTTTATCTGTTTGGTGTAACTGTTGGATTATACATTTAAGTTGCTGAGTGGTGTTTGTTAAATAAGCTGTGAAGTAGCTTTTTGCTGTGTAAATGTCTTTTTTACCCTTGTTAGTTGTAAATTGAATTTTTCTAGACTTTTTGCTATTAATTACATATTAAGAGATCATTCCAACACCAAATTAACATAACCCTATTATTTACACAAAAATAATTTATGAAATAAATAAATTATAATTTATACAATGAAATAAATATTTGATTTTTAAAGAGGCGGGAATTTAATTTTTTTTGCGACAAAAAAATTTGGTCGCCATTTTTTAAACGACGTCATTTTGTACCAGAAAAATAGAAAAAAAAATAAAAAATAAATAAAAAAAGCCCTAATCTCTTCTGTCTCTAGCCCCCACTCACTACAAAAAATTAGTCTTTTAAAAACTAATATTTAAGGACTAATTAAATTTGGTCCCTAAAAATAATTTTTTTGAGACAAAACTAAACTTGTGATACAAAAAATTAGTCTTTTAGAAACTAATATTTAAGGACTAATTAAATTTGGTCCCTAAAAATAATTTTTTAGAGAAAACTAAACTTGTGATAATTTACTTACAAAACTACCAAAATGACTCTTGATATTTCCTGTTACGCAGTGTAACTTTTTGAGACCAATAAATTTGGTTGTCAACACATATTATTGGCATTTTTTAGGGACCAAATAATGAGAAATTACAAAACTTCACCTGATGCAAATACACACTGAAAACCGTATCCAAGCTTCACGATGCGTAAAAACTTCTCTCTCTATATGTCAAGCTCCATCGCAAGCTTCATTGTAGGTTACAACAAAAGTAACCTATGGTGACGAAAACTAGTGAAGAAAATAAATTTCGTCACTAAATAAAGATAATCGGTGAGGAATTATAAAATTTTGTCACATATAATAAAAAAATAAAAATAATGGGTGACAAAATTTATTTTCATCAATAAACACTTCTTTTAGGTGAGGAAAAATTTAGTTTCGTCACTGAAGATTTTTCCGCTAATATTTTTGAGTGGCGCCAAAATTTTGAGACTTTTGGTGAGAAAAAAATTTGTCACCAATTATAAAATTATTAGTGAGGAATATATTTTCGTCACCAATAATTTTAAATATTTTTTTTAAAAAAAGAACTTAATTTTAAATATTTTGAGACCATTTGATGAAGAATATATTTTCGTCGCCAATAATTTTTAATATTTTAAGACTTTTGGCGAGGAAATTATTTTGTCATCAATTTTTGGGGGAGAGATACTGGGCAGTAATGAAAAAAAATTAGGTTACTAATTCCCCCCTCTTTTTCTTTTTTGTTTATCAGTTTTCCCCCCATTCCTCTCTCACAAAACACAGCGCCCCTTCTCCTCTTTCAGCTCGTTCTTCTCTCTCGGTGCCGCCACCGACATCACCCACATTCTCCTCCGAGCAATTGTCAGTGCCGCCGGCATCGCTTCCAGTATTATTCGATTATTTCTCTAATTTTTTTTACTTTTATTTTCAAGTATGGGTCCTCTCTCTCTCTCTCTCTCTCTCTCTCTCTCACTCAATTTCTCTGTTTTTCTTTCTTTGTTACTAATTTCCCTTACCTATTGAACATCTGCACTCATTAAATTTCATCAGAATTACAAACTTTAAACATCTATTTGAAACAACAATGGAAGAACCTCATTGGAACCCTACCCTTTGAATTCAATTGAACTGTGCATCGAAGATTTAATTGGTTTGTAGGTTCTGTAATTTTTGTTGATAGTCATTTATCCCAAATCCTACGAGATTTACAGTGATTGCTTATGAATAATGAATTCCATGTTTTAATTTGAAGGTTCATACCTGGAGCAGTGGTCAATGTGACTATTTCTACTTGTGGTTGAACATTCTTTATGTTACTTCTCTCTCTCTCTCTCTCTCTCTCTCACACACACACACACACACACACACACACACAAACACACACACACTCTCACACTGCAGTTTGAAGGAAATAAGTATATCTATACTAATGTGTATTTCAATTCAATTGCTAGGGATGCTGTGGTAACAATGAACATATGAAGCTTAAGATATATAAATATAGTAAGGTATAATGAATTTATCTTAGTGTTTATGAACACAATAGTTTGAAGGCACTATGAATGGAATCCAAAATGGGTTTTGTTCAATAGCTGTTATGCCTTATCTGTTAAGGCTACTCAACCCCAGCCTTGGTCCATAGCTGTGCTTACTACCATAAGTCTTAAACTTGGACTATTGGTTTTCAATAGAGTGGCCAGTCAATAACTCTAGCCCACCATGCTGGTTGTCTCATCATGACTTAATGCCTCTCCATTATAACACCTTAAATATTTCTTACAATTCTGTTTTATGTTTCTATGACTTTTAATTAGTTGCTACATTGACAATTGGTGCCGAGTATGGTTTTGTTTCATTTGCTGATCATGATGATGCTTTTGAGGAAATTCTCATTCTTTGTTTCTCTATTTAGTCTTCATGTTCCAAAATCCAAATCCGTTATCGCTTGAGGAACGGATGGGGTACAAAACAGCAGGATGGTATACCTATCATTCTACGAGGGTAAAATTTACAATTTGTGAGGATCATCATAACATTACTGGGAAGGGAAACATTATTTTTTGATCACCTGGATGGGATGCATTTCTTTGTCTCTAGTGAACCTTGCAGTTGGATCTGAGGACGCAGAATTAGAGTTGCCACTTGAAATACTGTTAGTCTATTTTGTAGATGCACATATGAGGAGATTTAAGAAAAAGAGAAGAAACAGGTATAAAGAATTTGGTGGTGTAAATAATTTTACTTCATCAAATGAAATATTGATATTAAAACACTATATGATGGAAGAAAGAAAATAGAATTTAAAGATAACACTAGTTGCAGTCTGATTGTTCTATACTACACACGGGTACCTACGTTCATAAATGTACCCATGCTGACATATTTGTGGATAATATGGAATAAAATAATTTCATGGAGGGCTTTTTTGAGTCGAAATTCTTAACAATTGTATGTGGCTGGACTGGCAGCTTGACCTGATTGCTTCCAAACTGTTTATTGAAATTTGAATTACAAGATTATGGCACCTTCAGGAGTTTAGAAAAAGAAAAAGAAAGAATTTAATAGTCTTTTGAAATACAGTGGTTCTCCCTTCGGTGCGTCCCCCCCCCCCCAACTTTTTCCATTTTCCTTTCCAAATTCCTTCTCAAATCCGTGAACCAAACACAAGATATGAAAAGATAAATGTTATTCCACATCTATGTAAATGCGTGTGTAAATTGTTAGGTGAAAAATTAGATAACTCTAACATTATTCATGAAAAAGAGAAATTCTCAAACAATGGCTTGGCATCTCACAAATAAATTTGAGTCATTCTTTCCATACCATTGCCTATTGTGACAGTAAATATCATTGTTGTACGAAAAATGTTGAGCAAATTTGATTAAAATAATAAAAAACAGTAAATAAAAAATTCAAGTGAAAGTGAGTTAGTTGCAAACATCAGCTTGACATATGAGGGCAAGTCCTACTATCAGCTGAAAATAGAAAAGTGTTGGATCAACTTAAAATAGCTTGGATTGTTGACTCAAGAGTAGTTTAGGTGTGATTTATTGAAATGTCCATCATATTTGAAAGCTGGATTTTATTGTCAAACAATCATTGGTTTCAATACAAAACTAAAAAGTCAAATCATAAAAGTATGACTTTGCCTTAGTGACATCCTTATAGAGGCAAATGGTAAATTCGGACACCACTAGCAATGTATAGTCAAAAACCTTCCTCAATTGTAACTAGTTGAACTTGCGCAAAATTATGAATTAAATGTTCAGCTTGCTGATTCAATTTTTTAATGCTCAATTGCTTTGTCTATTTTCTCTTGTGATTTATGTGTGGTTGTCATTTATATAACTCGGCATAATCATTGAACTTCAAATTATTTTTAAATTAAAATTTTTAGTTTTGATTTTTTTTGTTATATATAAAATTTGTCCTGTTCATCTAACTTCAATTAACTCGGCATAGTCAGACATGGACAAGATTTGGTTGGCACTACATAGCACAGTTGATGGAAGGATAAGTCGGCCATATTGTAATGGGGTAATATTATTCCTTGATGTCATTACATGACAATATGGAGACCCAACACTCAGAGCCTCTTGATGTCGATGTAGAGGCACAGAGGGCGGCCACCCCCAATCTAGTATCAGTAAGATGCTAAATTTTACTATTAAAATGCAATTCTCTATTTTAATATAATGTGTACTAGTAATTTAAATTGAAATAAAAAATATGGAATAAGAAGTTTAGTGATGAATTTTTTCGTCATCTGTACTTGTTATTATGACAAAGTGATTATTCGTTGCTAAGAAATATTTTTTGTGACAAATTATCACAGCTTACATATCAAAGTTTTCATTGATTTTGTTGTTTAGTGACTAAAAATTTCGTCAACTTTACATCTTATTGTGACGAAACTATTTCTTCATCAGTGATCAACATGTGTGACAAAATTATTCATCAACTAAAGTTATAAATATAGTATTGAATAACTATTTGGTGAAAACCAGTTTTGAAGAGAAGCTAACTTGCTAGAATTTTGTTGATAGAGAGTACAAAACAGAGCAAAAACAAAGTTATGCCGGTAAACTTTTCTTAGGTTTATTTATTGTTGACAATTACCTTATGTCTTCCTAATATATATATTTTTCCATTGGAACTTGCTCCTAGTGATACATGGTATTCCTGTAATCTTTTGGCAACTTTTGTTATCTGTGTTGCTCATCATCAAGGATCACCTCAACTCTTTGAAGTTTTGGATTGTTATATGCATTTCTACTAAATTGGTTTATAAAATAAAATTATTTATATATGAGTTTAGATGTAATTGATAATATATTGATGTTTTCTTTGTTTATTTTCTTTGCAGATTTGGTTTTTGATGATGTTTGGAAGCATACTAGCAAATCAAGATCAATTGTTGATTTTTTTTTTTCAATTGTTGATTTATTTTTTTTTTTTTTTTTGAACTAATACTTAGTCCTAGTTGCAAATCAAGATCGAGGGTTGTTTTTTTTTGTGGACCCCGTGTTAGTTCATTTTGGGATTTGCTATGATGGTTTTTTGGTTAGACTTAATGGATTATTATTAAATTTGTTTGATGGATATATTTTGATATTAATATAAATTGTTTAGTGATTTTTATTTTTTATTTTTTTTTTGTGGAATGATGTATAATAGCCAGTGGATTTTTTAGTACATTTAAAAGGCTATTGAGATATGAACAGTGATATTTGTGAAATAGTAATTTAAATTGAAATAAAAAATATGGAATAAGAAGTTTAGTGATGAATTTTTCTGTCATCTGTACTTGTTATTATGACAAAGTGATTATTCGTCGCTAGGAAATATTTTTTGTGACAAAAATTATCGCAGCCTATATATCAAAGTTTTCATTGATTTTGTTGTTTAGTGACTAAAAATTTCGTCAACTTTACATCTTATTGTGACGAAACTATTTCCTCATCAGTGATCAACATGTGTGACAAAATTATTCGTCAACTAAAGTTATAAATATGGTATTGAATAACTATTTGGTGACGAAAATGAAGATTTTTTATGATAAAATGTTGTCTTATTGGTGACAAAATTTTTCGTCACTAAGGTAATTTCATTGGTGACGAAATTATTTTTCCTCACTGCAGTTTTTAGTGACAAACATTCAATGACGAAACTAGTGACGAAAATATTTCCTCACAAATATCTATAGTGACGAAATTAGCTCTTTAGAGACAAAAAAATTGTCATTCAAGAATCAACTTGTTGTAGCTCTGTCCATCTCGAGCTCCATTGCAGATCAGTTTGAGATCTACGAGCTTCAGTAGATCTACCTTGTTCTTCACATTTTCTGTAGATTTGGTGCATCCCTCTCTCTCTCTCTATATATATATATATCTGTCTATACATACATACATACATATATATATATTGTAGATCTATGAAGAACACAATAAGTAGTTCACATTTTTGTTCGATTGGCCTGCACATTGTCATGGATGCAGTTTTTCTATAGGTTGATTCTTCACCTTCTTCTTCATTTTTTGCAGATTTCTGCTACTTTGAAGACATCGATTGGTTAATTCACTCTCTATCAAGGTATTTCTCGATCCTTCAAGTAGTATTGAGTTTTTAATACAGATTGTAGCCAAAAATTAGTTTTAATGTTGAATTAATAAAATTAATTTAACTCATTCTGTTTGATTTTTGTTTACCTCATCCTTTTGATGTGAATTTTAATTATATGTATTTCTCGATCCTTTTGATGTGAATTTTAATTTAACTCAGGTTTGTTAAAAGAACTAGGCCATATATGTTCCCTGTTCTGTGTTAGCTGGAACATCTTCGGGGAGTGGTGAAGATCCTTGAGAAGGATCTGATTACCCCAAATAAATAAATAAATAAAAGTAATGCCAAACTCAAATATAACATGAAATATCATCAGAGCTTAAAAATTACTCAAGTTGTTTTTTTAGTCAGTGTGGAGAGAGCACAATCGTCTTGAAAATTACCAGTGACTTCACATTTTCAACTTCATTTTGAACTAGAAAAGATCTTTATTTTTGTGATTCTGACTAGGTACATATAATTGAATAGGAGCATTGTTGCAATTTCCTTAATTTTCAATTCCGTTAGATGGCTATTGTAATGGAGAAAGCTAAAATAAACGAATGCACCACGAGATTGTGGTTAAAATTCTGTTTATTAATCCCAAGTCTTTTTCAGAGTGATTTGGTTGTGTTACAGGGTTAAAGACAGTAGTTCACTGCATTTTTTAAGGGAAAATTATTTAGAGCTCTTAAGGCAAGCCTATGGGCATGTGGATTTTTATTGGTTTAAAATAAATAGTTGAACCCTATCACTCATTTGAGCCAATCTCAAATGAGTTTTAATGGAGCCGATTAAGAGTTGATCTTGAATCATTTTGTTTTTAAGGATAACATCTCACCTTGCTTTACCTAATTATTTTTTGGTCAGTATACAATTATTTAAGAAGAGGTGTCAAGGAGGTACAACCTGTATACTAAAGATCTATACCATCTATACATCCAGATGCCTAAAAATTGGTTCAAATTTTTGTTGCCTTTGATAGATGGATAAAAAATTGCCTATTAATGGATGGATCATATTTTAACCCTGTCATTAGTATATATGGTAGATTAGTTTCCAGTCTATTATTCGTATATTGCCTTTAGCATTGTTGTTGGTATGGTTTCTCTTAGTTCTTGACGTACTAATTTTTGTTGTCAAAATTTGACTGCTAATGACCTTCTACATGGCTCTTTTTTTGTAAATAGCTAAGAGGTTGCCTAGAGCTCAGCCTGCTCAGAATCCTGCAGGATGGTTCTTGTGGACAGACCAATAGAAGGATCCCGATCTGCACCATGTTGTGCCTAATATTTGACTGTAATCTTCTTCTACCTATCTTTTTCCTTGTTTTCCTTTTTTCATTATTATTATTTTTGATTATCCATGATGCCATAGTTGTCTGATTTTAAAATTAAAGCAACTTTTATTGATACATATCCCGAAGTACACTCCTAATGAGTATATATATTCTAGAAAAATAAATAAATGAACAAATAAAGGAGTGTTGTTGCAAAACATGTGCCTACAAGTTTGGGTGCTTGTTCTTTTCTGATTTGGTGCATAATCTCGTAATTTCTTTCTTCATTCAAAAAGTTACTGTTATCTATGCCTGTTTGCATAAAGTGCATGGCTTTACAGGTAAATCTTCATGAATCTGAAAGAAGCAATGTCATGTGCAAATATCTTGTTTTTTTTTGTGTTTAGTGTGGTGGTGGGAGGAGGGGAGGAGGTTGCTGTTGAGCATTTCAAGTTGGCAGTCAAGGATGGGTAGCGTAAGGTAAGATGCTAAGCAGTGTGTTGTACATGACTATAGGTGTGTTGGGGTTGGATGAAGATAGTAGTAGTATGATTAAGCTCATCTCCTTTCGTTTACTTGTGTAAGGGTTGACCAGATAGTCTTAGGTACATTTGAGAATCAAAACACATCTAGACACTCAGAGGGGATGACCGGGAGAGAAACATAATAGTCCAACCAATGTTGTGACCTAAGTTGGCTTTTGTGCAAATGCATTTGTTTAGGCTATCAATTTTGTGTATTTTCTGTTTTAGGAAAGTTTTCACTTATCAATTACAGATTTCCTGATTTATATGCTGCTGTTTGTTATGGTAAGTTTCTACTCCTTTCTGGTATCTAAATTTGAGCTGAACTCAAATTTGCTATCTTTGGCAATTGCATATTTTTCTTTATTAATTTCATGTTTTACAAGGAATTAAATTTGATTACATAACTTCCTAGTGGTGCAAGTCATCTTGTACAGTAGATAGACCTACCATGTTACACCTTCTTTGGTGCTTTTAGCAGATTGCCTTCCCTATGAAAAGCAAAAACTACAATTTTGGATTAGATTTATAAACATAATTTTCTAGAAGCTTGAGGACATCACCTTCTTGTCTCCACAAACTTTTCTTCCTAGTTCTCTTGCATTTAATAAATCCAACCCTCAGTCTCCCTTTTCTGCCAGAAGCACAGACAGACAATGTATTGACATTTGGGAAGACCATTTCCCTTATTGTTGAAATCTGACCAAATATTAATGAGGTACTATGTACAAGCGATGGCGGAGCAATATTAATGAGTTACACTAGATTTTGTTCAAATCTGTAATAGCTTTATGACTAGATCAGGCACTTTAGATGGCTTCTGTATGCATTGGAATTTTCATTAAATGGTTTGTCTTTTATTTTGCTGCTTTCCAGATTTTGATGCCTGTCTTCCCTGGACAGCTATGTTACATTCGTAAGAACCTGTTCCATGCAGTTTTTGTTTTGGATCCTGGTTCAGCTTGCGGTCTTGAAGCAAGTATTTAATATCTGTCAACTAATCTGAGTTTCTTGTTGCATTTCATTATCACAGGAAGTGCTCATGTTTTTTTTTCTCCTTTGGTATTTGTAGTCCATTGACATGATTATTTCTTTGTATGAGAATAATCTTCCAATGAGATTTGGGGTGATATTGTTCTCTAAGAAGTTCATCAAGATGATTGAAATGAATGATGGCAAAATCCCAGCAGCTCCCATGAGTAATGATGATGTATCCAGTCTGGTAATGCTTCTCTCTATCTTATTCAATGCCTGTGATAATGTCTTCTAACTAAAAGTACATTGAGCGTATTTGCAAGTCAATTGGATTTAACGACAATATTACCTTAGATAACATGTAACCCTAGATCTGATGCCTGTTCTTGAACCACACTGATGTGACTTTGCCAGATTAGAGGAAGTATTTTGACATAATTCTCGATAGTGTTGCATTGTGCCTTACTGGAGCAAGGAATAAGAATTGTTGTCAAATTTTTTATGAATTTCAATGATGATGAGCATTTCTGTTCTATTATCTAGGCTTTAATTTTAAGGGATTGTTCTGCCTTATTTTGCAAACCAGTAATGCTGGAGGTGACTGATATCACATGCCGTTGTATATATTTGTAAACAAGAGGTTGCTACTAGTCCTCCAGATATTTAATTGGGCTTAGCTGCCACCTGACTGCCCGACCATCCTGAAATTTATTGGTGGAGCCTAATTTGAACTTGGTCATAGTGGCCTGAACTTGAAGTTTGGCTGATCTTTTTCCCAATATGAAATGAAGCTTTTAATTATTTTTTATGTTATATTTGTGTTTTTCAATGTATTGTAGAAAAGCACAATCATAGAAAGAGGCGAGATAGGGATAAGGTATTTGAACTGCAGTCAGTTAAGTTAGACCTAAGCTTTAGCAGACTTTTTATTTATGCTGAGTAATGTTTCAGGTGTAGGTTGGCCTAACTGAGAGTCGTAGAAGTAAATTCTAAGGACTTTTTAAAACGTGTCAGTAGATCTGTTATTTGGTATCCATTATTTATTTATTTAAAAGTTTTGTTGCAACACCTCATGATCTATCTTACAAACGAAATCATTGTAAGCAGCTTTTGTCCTTTGTGTTTTGTCCACTTATTCCATAAATTTATTGTGATGGTAATGAAAATTGTTATCATGACTCTGTTTTGCAGATCATACGTCTTTTTATTTAAATTAAGGAACATCACGGGATTCACATGGCTTTCCAGTTTTTGAGCAATGTATGACTTTGGAATCTATATTATTCTTATTTGCATATTCTGAGATGTAAAATAAATCGTTTCTCAGTTTTGTTTCTTTCTCAACATTTTGTTGTTTTGCCGGTTCATGTTTTCTCTTATTCTCTGAAAATACTGAAACAAAATATAAAGACCACAAATCTTTGGACAAGTAAAGAAGTTCATGAATCATGAATATAAAAACTTTATGGAGACTCTTTCTTAGGATCAAAGGCCAATAAACATAAATGAGTGGTAAAACACATTCTTGATATCACCTTTAATGTTGCAGTTCCTGTCTCATGCTAATTTTGTAATTGCTATTTACCTCCATCTCATGTTTTTATGCACAGTCCAAACTTCAAATTGTTTGTTAAAAAGGGCATGCTTGAATATGTGATTAAAGAAATAAGAAAAACTACAAATTCATCAGATAATATATTCTCAAAAAATCACAAAAAATAAAATGATACAATTTTATTGCGTTACTTACTGTTACCAGGTTCTGGTACTGGTAATTTGAGGAAACTCAACTCACTAACGCCTTGTCGCAAAGGTTTTGGTACTTCTGTTCTATTTAGATAGAAATGTCACCAATGTTTAATGAGAAAGTTAGGAGATTCTTTAATGGGTCTGGGTGTGTAATCCTGTGCACACTTCTGGATGTGTGTGAAACCAATTAATTGGCAATTTCTAAAGCTTCTTGTTTTTTCATGTCTTGTGAGTGTGTCATGTGTCTCAGGGTAGCATCATTAAATTCATCTCAAAATTGCCCTAGATTGAGTTCCATTTTACTTGTTATATGGCAGATAAATAAATTACGAATTGAGTCAGCAGATCCTACAGAAGATGCTCCTGAAATGCATCATGTGGAAGGGGCATTTGTTGAAACATTATTGTAAGTTTTTTTATTGGAAAAATTTTGAACTTAAAATTATTGCAAGTCTGAAAGATATTTTACAGTTGAGTTCATTGTTATGTGTACATAATGTTTCTGATCATTCTGCATGCATATTTAAGAGTTGATTATTGTATCATCGTCTTGTTATGTCCAATTGAGGTTGAAGTAGATGTTCTTAATTTCTTTTGGTTGATTGTTCCTTTTAGTAGTCTACCACTCAAATGTACTCATATTCTGTAGACCAAAGGCTAAATCTCCCCCTCAAGATGCTTTACTAAAACTGGAAACAGAGCAAACTTTCACTGAACTATCTCAAGAGAGCTCATGTTTGTTTTTAAGCTGGGTTTAGTTAAGCTCCAATGCTGCCTCTTGATGAATGGGCTTGTTGTTGATGCTAATGAGGTACTTGCTCGAATCTCTTGTTGCTTCTTCTTCCTCCATAATAATATATTCTTCTATTTTCTTAGCTTTTGTCTTTGACTGTGGTAAGATTTCATTTAAATTTTGTTTGTTTTTTGTAGATTTCTGTCAGCATGTCGTATATGCTCTTACAAGAGATATGGGTTCTTAAGTTGGATTCTTCATGATCTCCCATGACCATTAGCACAAGAATGACATATTTAGTTTAGAAGGCAAAGTTGATTATTCTTCTTTGTAACTTTACATATGATTGGCTACTTTTCTTCTCTTTTACTTTTGATCCCTGGTTTTGTAACTCTCTTCCAGGTAAATCAACCCTTTAGCCTTACTAGACTTCTGTCACTCCTAGTTTTCAAAATTTGTAAAGTCTTACGTCTCATGAACGATGAAAGGGATGTGATGAATCATTGTGTCATTCACATCATGGATGATGCTTTAAAATTATACGTTTATTATGGATTGAATGAATTATTAGGAATTACAGGTGTATTGTTTTCTTGCTTTTGGCGACCAATTTATTAGTCGGGACAAAAAAATAATTTTTTTTTGCAAAAAATGACAATTGCCGACCAAGAGTTTTGGTCGCAAAAAATACATATATTGCCGACCAAAACAGCTCTTGGTTGTGGAATCTCACTTTTGCCGACCAAAAGTTTTGGTCGCGAAAAGACACAAATGGCGACCAATTTTTTTGGTCGCGAAATGTGATAATTGGCGACCAAAAAATTTGGTCGCGAAATGTAATAATTGGCGACCAAAATTTTTGGTCGCGAAATGTGACAATTGGCGACTAAGAAATTTGGTCGGGAAAATATCACTTTTCGCGACCAAATATTTTGGCGACAAAATAAATTAGTCCGGGTAATTAAATATTTAGCGACCAAAATTTAGTCGGCAAAATCCAACTTTTGCCGACCAACCACAATTTTGGTCGCGAATTACTTTTGCCGACCCTCAATTGGCGACCAAAGTAGCGACCAAAAAAATTTGGTTGCGGATAACTTTTGCCGACCAAAAATAGACTTTTAGCGACCAATTTTTTTGTTGCCAAAAGTGTTAATTCTTGTAGTGTAAACTGATCATTATACATACAATCAAAATCATATTACTTTAAGAATTAACAAATTGTAGAGGGGGGGTCTTGTTAATCAATTTGTTGCTTCCCCTTTATAAACTGATCATTATACATACAATCAAAATCATATTACTTTAAGAATTAACAAATTGTAGACGGAAAGGAAAAAAAAAAGTATTAAATTTTTTTTAAAAAAAATTTATTCTATTTATTCCCTTCATATTTTCTTTATTTTCACATATATTTTGTCAAAACCAATATCCAAAGACAACTTAAGTCAATTTTAGTTTGTAAAGTCTAGAAGGCTATCAACCTATCGTCAAATTGAATTTACAGTGTGTGTATAAGCATAATAGGTGTTTTTTTTTTTTTTTTTTAACATATGCGGGTTGGGTCGGTTTGACCTGTGAGTTGGGAAATTCCACCCGCTACCCACGCCGACCCGCCAGTGCTGGGCCTCCCACATGCCCAACCAGCCCGCTAGAGTTGGAATTTTGCACGGCTCAGAGCGATTCGGTACAGTTTTGACAGTTATGGCGATATTATGCACAACCCTACAATTTAAGTTATATATCACTAAAATTCTAATATGATATCAAGACCAAGTTTTGGGGGGCTTCACAAAGCAAATCTTCATCTCAATATATATGATTAATAGCAATTTTAAAATTAGTAATACTCCATTCCTTAGACTTAAATGGTACAATTGTAAAAAAATAAAATAAATTTTTTTGATTACTCTAACAACGTGCTACAATAATTTTGCATCTGACTAAGAAATAGGTCAGCTATTTAAATCTTCCCACTTACATGTCTCTTAACTATAATTGCATATAAGAATTAATTAGAAAAATAAATTAAAATAAAAAACTCACAAATTACACAGACCACCTTCCTGTACAGTCCATAGATGAAGAAACACGTTTGGTAGTTCTCCGGAAGTTTGGGTTGCTCTTCGGGTTTGGATTCGGGCTTCGTTTCCTTTTTCCCCTTATTCTCCTTGAGCTCTTCAACAAATGTACCTTGCAAATATTGGTGCCAATAAAGAGATATAAATGTACTCAACAATAGAGTAATAAATTACAAAGAGGCAATCTGATTCTATTACAATTTACAAGTCTCAGAGTTAATTGGGGCTAGCTAGTGGCCCTGATGATATTCTAGTCTTTATATAAAAAATACATTTAGAACAATGACGTCTCAATATTATTTTAAAAATTATAAAGATTATGATAAACGCCTTGATTGAAAATAAAATGAATTACAAATAGGCAAAATGAAGTTTAAATTTATTCGAACTGTGGTGGGGAAAGGGAGGAACCGTGGTGCTAATTTGTGTTTGGTTCATGAATTCATTTATGGATTTGAAAAATAAAAAGAAAAGAAATATGTAAAAGGTGTGTTACTTTTTCCTTATTTCTTTTCAAATCTTTATTCAAATTCATGAACAAAATATGATCAAATAGAAAGGGCAAAATCATCCTCACATATAGATAACATCCCAACACTAATTTTTTTTTAAAAAAGTATATATATATATAAATTAAATAACATCCGAATTTCTGAAGAAAAAAAAAAACCATTGATACGTGATGTGCAGTGTGAGGAGTAAACTTGAGTGTAAGGGTAATGTCACGTATGCATAATGATGTTCCTATAAGTGAGAAAAAGAGAGAGAACATACAGTGGTAAATGATCCCGTCCAAACGTTCAAGGCGCTTTCCACTTTTGAAGGAAGAAGGCTTGGTAGCCAGAACGTGGAGGGGGGTGAATCCTTTCTCATTGTGTTGATTAACAAGATCTCCATATCGAAAAATTATTTGAAATGCCAAATCTGTTTCCACCACATCACATCCATCAACACACAATTTCAAAATATTTATAAGATATGAAGGGAAAGATAATAAGGTGAAGAGCAAGATGTCATTTTGTAGATAGATAGATAGATAGATAGATAGACAGACAGACAGACAGATAGATAGCTCACCAAAGTATTCGCCATTGACGGCAACATGAAGAAAAGTATCGCCGTTGCTCCCTCTACAGTGGGACAAGTCTTTTTTGCCGCAACAAAGATTATCAAGACACAGGAAAGCGTCTTTCTTGCCTGAGAGCAGCCAAAGAACAAAGGGTTCATTTGCTCATTGTTCCGAATAAAAATTAAATTTGGATGTTCTTTAGCAATCCAATAGCACGTTGCGAGACTACCCGATGCTGCTGCCAAATGGAGAGGGGTATTCCCTCTCTCATTTTTTATCCTGAGAGCCTTTGGTGCTTTTTTTCTTCACCACCACCACCTGGCTTATTTTCTCCACTGGGAGCCACCCCGGATGCCTGTCCTCCACTACCTCCCTCAATTTGTACACTGGGAGCTGCCAGTGCCATTGCCAGTGCCGGTGCTGGTGCTGGTTTACCACCACCACGATGCTCATCTTTTTTTGCTTTGAAATCTGCCTCATAAATTGTATCAACAAGCTGTTTAATCGGCCGATACGCTGCGTATCGGCCGATACGTATCGAAAAAATGGGGCACCGTGACGGATACGGGCTGATATATCACTGTGATTAAAAATCGCAGGAGTATCGGCCGAGTCCCGGTACGTATCGGCCTGTAAGCGTTACACAAGCCGTTACACAAGCCGCGACGGGCCGATACTCACCGATTCGGACCGTTACGGAAAAAAAAAGTTGAAAAACTTTTGAAATGATTTTTAAAGTTTCACCGCTGCGACACCCGATTCCCGATACGTACCGATCGATACTACCGATATCGATACTCCACGATCGATACCGTGACGTTACCCGATACCCTGATTTAGAACCTGGTGTTTAACAAATTGATCTTGACCATCTGACACCGCTAGGTGCAATGCGGTATCTCCTGATTTGGTGATCTTGGCCACGTGAACTTCTGCATATTTCTTGTATATTTTTATGACTTTCTTCCATTCATCTTTCATGGCATGGCTGAACAATTGGCTATTTATTTCTATCTTCTTGTCTCTTTTAGGCATCTCCATCACTAGAAACAATAGGGAAAAATATATAGCTATATATAGCTTGTGAATCTGTAGTCGGGTATCGGTAGTGTTTGGCAAGGTTCTAAATATCGGCCGGTACGTGCCGTTCTGGCCGGTTCGTACCGGAAAATAGGAGTGCCGAGTCGGATACTCACCTGAGAGGGTAATTTATATGTAAATTAGGCCGAGCTGGATAACAGGCCATTCTGAGGGCCACAGTAAGAAGGGCTGAGTAAAAGGGCCAAGAAGTTAGCCCGGTCCAAGAGAGCAGCAACAGTTAGCTCAGTCATACCATATTGAGCCGAAGTATGTTAAGCTTTCCTCAGTACCTTGCTATTGGTTAGCTCGGTCCAAGCTCGTTGTGGTTAGTGCAGTCTCAGACAACCCAGTTGGAATATGTCAAACCGAGGTACACTCAGTAAAAGGAAGAACCGAGCTAGTGGGAGCTCGGTCTAGTCTGCAACTTTAAGCATGGCCATGTTATCTCGGTCGTATTGACATCCAACCGTGGTAGAACCATCTCACTTGGTTTAAGCAGTGAGGGGGGTGTTGAAGGATAAGCATTATTTTTCAGGAATGTGATTCCTAGGAGGACTCTACATGGAGGAGTAAGAGTCCTACTTGGATTGTGCCACGCGGAACCTATAAAAGCTCATAACATCACCTATGGAGAGGTAGCACAACTTTGATTCTCGAATACTCATAGCTTTTGTCTATTTGTCTGTTTTGCTGACTTAGGCATCGGAGAGGTATCCGGCACACACTCGCTGGCTAGCTCACGTTTGTGTTTTCAGGGAGTAAAGCGACGACGTTTGGAGGAACGCAGACTTGATCAACACGATTATACGAGAAGATTATTTCTTACTCGTACAATTGGCGTCGTCTGTGGGAATCACAGAAAGAACAAAACCTCTTGATCAAAGTTTTCCTCGCTAGATTAGACGTAATGGCGCACAATGAAGATTTGCCGCAGTCCGCCATTGACAGGCAAACCCCAGAGGGAGGTGGGAGGTGCGAAGGTTTGCCTTCCATCCCTCCCATGGTAGATCTGGAGCCCCAGCGACAGAATCCCCGGAGGGATACAAGGGGAAGGCGGGGTAACAGCCCCCGTCGCTCATCAAGTCCCGATATGCAGAAGCGGAGGATCGACCTCAAGTTTTGGAGGATCGGGTGAAGGAGCAGGACGAGTTAATCAGGAAGATGGCGGCGGACATGGAATTGATGAAGCACCAGATAAAAGGGAAAGGGGTGGCGACAGGAGAGGGGCACAAAAGCAATACACCCCCTTGCCACTCTGAAGATCGTGGTAGGCATACCACACCATCGCAAGTAGAGAGTAAGAGCCTCAGAACAGGCGATACTCAATCAAGGACTTCCAG